GGTTGCTCAGGAGCCAGGGGGTCCGGCGGCCAGCGACGGCACGGAGCTTGCTGGAGGCGATGGGATGTTTCTGAGGGGTCCTGGAGCGAAGGCGCACTTTCTTCAGTGGCTTTGGGTAAAGGAAGATGCCAGGGAAGGGCAGCTCCTGAGCTGGGGCTTTGCGCTTCCCCGGCTGCAGCCTGGTCACGTAGACCTTCTCCTGGGCTTTCCGGGGCTTTTTGTCCTCCCTGGGTGCTGCAGCCTTGCTGGGACCCGGCGTTTTGGCTTTGCCACCAAAGATGGGAACAGAGAGGTGGGGCTGGAGGCTCAGGGGCCCGGCGTGCTTCGAAGAGGTCAGCAGCCCCAGGTCATCCTCCTCACCCTCACTGGGGTCCTGGGGTAACCAACTGAGCATCCGCCCACGGACCTGCTCCGGTGCGGGGCCCAGGTCCTCCTCAACGCGGGGGTCCTCAGGGACGGCCGCCGGGCTGGTGCTGGCCTGGTGGGACGTGCTCCACCTTCCCGGCTGCCCAGGCGTGCCCGCCTCGGCCTGGGCCGGACCCTGCCTGCGGTGAAAGCTGTAATAGTCCAGCTCGTCTCCATAATCCCCAGTGACCGGCGGGGCCTCCTTCCCTTTGGCTCCCGGTGCCGGCCCCAAGCTCTTCTCCTTGGCTTTGGGAGGTGGGTCTGTGGGCTCAGGGCTGTCCACTCCTTCCTCCTCCTCCTCCTCAAGGAAATCTAAGGAGCAAAGGCAGAGATCAATACCCTGAGGGTTCCAGCTGCTCGGCACACTCCCCCGAATGGTGCTGACCCAAGACAAGGAGGCAAAGCTTGTCCCCAGCAAGAGATTAACCTGCGAGCGGCTGCTGGGTGAGGGAGACAGAGCTGGCGGGCACTGACCGACGCTCACCAGGGCTGGCAGCTCCAGGCTCTGCCCATTAACCCCTCCAAACCTTGGCCACACCTCGGCACCGCTCTGATCTCACCCGGGAGCAAACCTGGCCTGCCAGGGCTTTGCCAAGCTGCAAACCGACAGCGAGGCAGGCTCTGAGCATCCCAGCTCCTGCGGGTCCCCGTGAGCACCCCCAGGCTCCACGGACATCCCCAGACTCCACACGGGCTCCGGTCATGTCCTGCTGCCCACTGACCCACCCAGGAGATGCGGGTACACGGCTCCGAGCAGCAGGGAGGGCGAATCCCAACCCTGGCAACCCGCTTCCCACACCCCGCAGCGCTTCGCGGCCGAGCGGGACGTGTGGCCACGGAGCGCGTGGGGCTGCTCGAGGGCACGCTGCTCTGCCGGCCCTGGCCTCCTCCAGCCCCCCGGCATCGCTGGAGGCATCCCGATGAACCGCATCTCCGAGCGGATGGGCTGGTGGGCAAGGATGCCGGGTGCTCAACCCCGTGCCAAGCCAATGAGATGCCCAAAAAGCTGCCAGCGGAGAGCGGTGACTCACTGTCTGGGTTGAGGAAGAGAAACGCTCGCTGGCGTGGATCCTCCTCCTCTTCATCCATCTTCATGTACTTATAAAAACCAAACCTGGGAGACAGAGGAAAGATGAGTTCCCGGAGACAAGGGAGGGGACGTGCTCGCACACACGTGAGCCCGCGTGCGCAGGGAGGAACATCCATGCCCGGCCGCGGTGCAGGCTCCCGGGCACAATCTGGCTCCAAAGTGAGCTAGGATTCCCAAAATCCAGCAGCGCTGCCAGGTCTCAAGCTGCTACGTGCCCGCAAGATGGGAAAGGAGCCAGCCTGGAGGTGGCCCTTCCATGGGGGACGGAGCCTGGGGGCCGAGGATGCAGCACCTCAGCGCCGTTTCTCCAGCTCTTTGAGCACCCTGTTGACATCAGCCCTTTCCTCCCCCTCCACGAGCCGCCCCCAAATACCGGCCCTCCAACGCTTACTTCTCCAGGTAGAGGGGGGACTCCCTGTAGAAGCATTTGTTCTCTGTCTCCATGTGAGTGAGGCGTGTGAAGTCGTTGGGGTACACGAACGAGAGGTAGACCTGGGGAGATGACCACGCCACCGTCACCCCAGCACAGAGCAGGCTCACTCTGAGGAAGCGGGGACCAGCAGGGCTAAGAGCTGGGGACCTGAGGCCACCAGCATGGTCCCTCAACACCGAGGTGACCCCCAGCACCTCAAGCACCCCGCGGGGCTTTTAACCCAAACCCTTTCAGGTTAAGATGGAGAAGCTCAGCCTGATCCTCCAGCACGGGACATTTCCCCCTGGACTTTAACCAGGCAGAAACATCCCTGCCCTGGGGTGGTGGCAAAGCGCTCTGCTTCGCCGCGTCTCCCGTGGGAGCGCGACCCTGTCCCTGCCGTGGGGGGACACTTACAAATTGCAGGCCCTGGTAGCGGGCGATGGGGAAGTCCTTCACCACGTAGGTGGGGCTGTAGGCACAGGGCACTAGCACGTTCTCCACTCGGGAGGCCTCGATCGCAGGGGCTGAGGAGAAGCAGCCGCGGCTCAGCCCCAAGCCATGCCCTACCACCCCCACAGCCCACCCCCTGTTGCAGTTTGTAGCCCAAACCATCCCAGCACGCCCCTCTACAGACCCCAGCAGAGCTGCCCTCCACCCAAGAGATGGGCAGAAGGCAGGAGGGATGCTCTGGGTGCCTGTGGCAGCCAGGTCCTGCCTACTTTTCCTCCCCCAAAACCCCACAGAGATCTGCGAGGACACGGTCCCAGCCACTTACTGAGGAAGAAGGTGTCCCTGGGGTCAGACTTCAGCATGTCAGCCCCGTGCTCGTCTTGCTGCGCCTCCCAGAGGTAGCTCCCGCTGTGGCTGGCCAAGGTCTGCGGGATGTGCTCCACGTGGTTCATCTTCAGGGACGATTCGTCTGAAGGAGGAGAGGACAGGGCCTGAACCCCACGGGCAGAGCATTGTCCCAGGAGCATCCCCCAAGGCGGCACTTCCCAGCCCCTCCATCCCTCCCACCAGGAGGGCTCGGAGGATTGTGGATTCCTCCCGCTCCCAGGGGAACAGGGGGAGCCAACGTGTTTGCACAAGGGCAAACCCAGCTCCTCCGGCCCTCTCACACGCTCGCAGACCCCGTGACTAATCAGCCTAATGATCATTGCCATCAACTAACGAGCACGGAGAGGACAAGGGTACAACCGATCTCAGCCAGGCAGGCCAGCTCCGGTTACAGCATCGCTCACTGCGCTCAGAGACAAGGGGTGGGAACGCTCCGGGGCTTTAACTCCCAAGGACACAGGAATTAAACCGTGAATGTTCTTCCCCATAGAGGTGCAGGTAAATGCAACACGAGCTGGTTCTGCCTCCTGTTCAGGGACGAGGGTGGCACATCGTCCTTGGCTACCAACCAGCCCCCAGACCTCCCCGCGGGAGGTCACCTTGCTCCGGTCACCTTGTCCCCCCACAGAGCTGCCTATTCCCAGCACCCACGGGTGCTCCTTTCCGGGCAGCCCTGCCTGCTGTAGGCTGTGGGGAAGCAGGCAGGTCCTGGAGCAAGCAGCCACCCCCTTCCCCAGCCCCAGATTCTTCTGCTTGCAGCAGGGAAAGGCTCCCCGAACACGTCCGTGCGGGTGGCTGAGGTCGGGCTGCAAGCCCTGGAAAAGCCCGGAGAAAGGGGGAAGGAGGAGGAAGGAGGTTGCTCTGCGCGCTGCTGGCACCCCCCCTACCACGGGGATGGGCTCCCCACAAGCGAAGTGGCTTTGCCTCGGGGTGCTGCTGGGGCCTGAGGGAGCCGGGAATGGAAAGAGCCGGCGCTGATGGACAGGGGTCGGAATTTATCTGCGCATCATCCATGTCACGGGCACCTCCATCAATACCAGCGATATCCCTCCATCCCTCTTCTCCCCACTGATCCCTGCCTGTTGCCTGCCCCCTCCTGCCTTATCGACACCTCCCAGGGCATGTTTGATGACCAGTCCTCCAGCATATCGAGCGCTGGGGCAGGACCCATCTATCACGTCCTTCCTCGCTGCCAGGGCAGGGGCAGGAAGCAGCAGATCTATAGATTTAATTAAACCTTGCGCCATCCATCCCGGCCCACACGACAGCTCCTCATAACTCAGGCCAGGCCAAGGGGCCAGCCCTCTGCGCTCCCATCAGCGGGGACGGGGCCGGAGCACGAGCAGAGCTCTCTTTCCGTGGCGTGTCACCTCCGCATCCCATTTTTAGCAGGGTCGCAGCACACTCCCAGCATCGCCCCTACCCGCCGCAGCCCCTGGCCTTCCC